AGCACGGCATAGACAGAATAACCAGATGAGGCTGGTAACAGGAAAAAGAAAGCTGTGCAGGAGGCATCATTACCAAGGTGCAATATAGGCCTAAGTTCACCAATGTAGGCCATAGCAAGCTGCATTTTTAATTTTTGATACATCAGAATACAGGGGTACCTTGATACACGACCTCTGACAAATGCTTAGGTAGATAACGCCAAATACCTAAACAGTAGTACTGAGAAACATAGATCACCTCTGTGCTGGAGTTCTGGCTAAAGGAAAAAAACATTCTTTGAAAGAGAATTCCTGTAAACCAAATAGGCTTTGTTTTTAAAGAAGGGCAATTTTTTCACCATCCGTGTTTTAGCAGGAATGTCAGTGTGCAACACACTAGATGTTTAATTTGCTTCTGAAGTGCTTATGTCTTGACTTTTGTGAAGTAGGTCAGTTCCTTCACAATGTGCAACCCATCATGCCCCAGCTCTTGAAAACACCAGTATTCCCTTTCAGCAAAATTCCATTAGGTATATGGGGCAGACATTTTAAAACTTCCTTCTATCATCATTCTTATAAAACCCAGCATACAAGAAATACACAGATAGTAACTAATCCCATGTCAGAGACCCTCTTATGCCAGCTCCAAGAAGCTGGAGGAAAAAAAATACATAAATGAACAAATAAATAGCTTTATAAAAAGTAGTCCATTCTTAGGAGCTTGTGCACTATGCAGCAAAAAAAATTAACAGGCTTAACCCATTATGAAAAGGGCTGAAAAGGTTTATCAGTGATGCACAGTTGCAAAGGACATTATCTGAGCTAGCAATGCATGACCTAGTGGCATTAGCAGAAGTTTACAAAGAGGGAAAAAAAATAAATCTGATTTTTGTGGGATGAAGGGGAAAAAAGGGGAGAAGCTGAATATTAAGAACCACCTTTTCTTGAAACAGCCTAGAACTCTCCATCTAGTCGAAAAGGGCTGAAAAGGTTTATCAGTGATGCACAGTTGCACAGGACATCAGCTGAGTAGCAGTGCACCTAGTGATATTAGGAGAAGTTTAACAAGGGAAAAAAATAAATCTGATTTTTGTGGGGTGAAGGGAATAAAAAGGGGAGCAGTTGAACACTAAGAACCATCTTTTCTTGAAATAGCCTAGACTCTCCATCTAGTCTCTGTTTCAAGAACAGCCTTTTGGCCAGTTTCATTTTACGGTATCAGCTGTGCTTCACACCATCATATTTGTGGTAAGACGTTCCCTTTCACTGCCTCACTACAGCTCCATACTTGAAAAGCTGACTGCAGAAATCATGCTCCAAACAGAGGAATCCCACCTGAGCACATGCTGCCTTTTCCCACGTTGAACCCCGCTGGCTCTGAGTGTGCCCTGCTGCTGTCAGGAGTGCGTGGAGCCTGGGCTGTGGCCAGCCCAGCAGCGAGGACCTACAGGATGCACACACCAAGCTGCTGACACGGCTCACACAGGCCAAGCTTGCACCCAAAGAGATACAGAATCTGGCACATAAAGGTCTCAACCATTTTTACTTATAGCTGCCATTAACTGCTGTAAAAGAGGTCTTGATCACAAACAGATGTGGGAAACTACAAGCTCGAATCCACTGCCACAATTTTTTAAAGTAAACTTCTAAAAGTGAAGCACTGAAAAATGTGGAAGCTCACCCTAAGCAATAAATCATCAAAAACAGAAGGTAACCTCTGTATGTTAGTTAAGTTCTTGCTCTTCCTCAAAAGAGAAAAACATTACAAATCTGTTAAGTGTTCTTCATTATCATGGGCCTGTAGAAACTAACAATAAAATAAACAAAAAAGCATTCTGAAACAAACAAAAACAAAGCATTCTGGTGACTGCACAACACTCAGAAAGGAAATTTTGCATCCGTGGATTTCTGTAGAAGTCCACTACCTTCTTAGAAATTTGAGGGAAAGAAAAAAGAGGAAGAGAGGTAAATTCAACTTTACTATTTTCCAGAATAAGCCTCTTGATAAATTCCTCCTCATCAAAACTCTTTCCAAATTCCACTTCTCTTTCAGACACCAATTTACAAACAGTTGTAAAATATTGCAGAAATTGAGGTTTTTCTGGCAAAGTACCAATGATGTAGAGGTATTTTGTTATAAAACCAATTCCTACCAGAAAATAATTTCTCCACCTGTTTTTGAAAAACTACTAATGGATTGGGTATGGAACTTGACTTAGAAAATTCAAAAGCATGATTTTGAAGGCAGACTGGATGAGTATTTCCTTATGAAGTACATAACACAGGCAGACGTCAAACAGTTCCACTAGTACTAAAATTTCCAGTTAAATTACTCTTTAAGATTTCATATCCCTCCTGTCTTTTTTTTTTTTTTCTCTCTCGTACTGTCAGAAACAGGGCCTGGAACAGTGAAAACCACACATCTCTTAAAAGCTTAAAATAGCCCACAGCTGATTTAAAGGTTCTAAAAGTTCTTGATTTATTCAAGTAGCTTTACCCACTTCAAAAACTAAAATGTTTCCTGAATTTCCATCAATACGAGCATGAAAACAACTTCCACACAAAACACAGTAACTAAGACACTGCATGACATGATTTTTACAGTTCCTAAAAGTACCAGTGACAAAGTAAATGCTTGTTAGAGACACGAATTTGCACTTTGAGACCTGTCACTGACACATACACCCAAGCAGGATGGAAGGGCTCTCACTTGAAGAACAGTGAGAAATAAATCTGAAGTGTCAAAAAAGTTTTCTTTCAGTGCATTAGTCTTTGTCACCATTTATTTAATAAAAAAAGGCACATTTGGCAACACTACCAATTTGAGAAACCTTATGGCTTGCAGGAATACTAAGGAATAAACACCCAGCATTCTCTCTTCACAACACAGATAACCAGACTATTGTTCTTTCATTCTAAAATGGCAAAAATATCATCAGAGTTCTCTACTGTGAAGGGTTTTTCCCATCCCACTGGCACATCCATAAATGTCTGTATGCCATACAACTTCAAACAATCTAACAACAAAAACATAATAGCTGATCTAATACAAAATAAAATTTCAGAAACAAAGAATCACCCTATTACGTTTAATACTCAGTCATCATCTTTAACCAAGAGACCATCAATGAGCATGACTCCAGGATAACAGACCTGCAAAACAGCACACTTCAGAAAGTTGTTTTATCCCAGTCTGTCCAGTTGTTTTGAATGTACAGACATCTATTACCCATCAGCCTCCCCAGTGAAAACTTACTTCTCAGACTCTGTCCATAAAAAAGGCCAAGAGTGGAGTAAAGCATAAAAAGGAAACCCATAACTGCTCACAAATTTGCAGACAGCTTGCCCATTTGAAACTGTGGCATTGCACTGACAGTGGCGCCACATGAAAACCAAAAAAACGTAAAAATAAATAATGCATGAGGTGTTTTCTGTGTTCCAACAACAGGTTACAACTCTACACTTGACACATGCCAGTTTACAGAAGAAGAGAGACAGAACATACATGTACCTTGATGCAACAAATGAAACAAGCAACCAACAAAGATCTCCTGGGTTTTTTTGTAAATATCTACCTAAGATGCAGAACTTATCTACATTGTATGCACATTTTAACAAGGACACACACACTTACTATTTCCATCAAAGCTTATCTTCCAATCCATTAAAAAAAAAAGCACACTGAGAACAAGGCACAAAACCCACACATCTCTGACCAAAAAGTTTACTGCAGCCTGTGTTGTTATAGATGGAGAAATCCGTACCATCAGAGAGAGCTGCATCCTGCTACACTGCACACCACTGATGCTGGAAGAATTAATCATTCACAGATCAACAATTGGTTCTTTCATCTCCCTGGCTTTCTCAGATCAGACCATTATGTATTTTTTTCCACCTACTGGTCCTGTTACACTCCATTTTTCAGCTGGATGTAGCAAAGACATCTGAAAAACATTCCTATTTCTAGAATGTACCTCACTGAAGGAAACCAGTGAGAGTACCTATATGCTTCCACGGGATTCACAACTTTACCAGTGTCAAGAAGTGATAGAACATTAAATTCTGCACTAAAATCACAATGTAATAAGCTGTGAAAAAAATGTGGACGGCAAACTGAAGGGCACCAAAGTCCTTCTTTCTGGCTTTCTACCAAAAGCCTCATGGGTTTGTTCAGTGAACAAACCCATGAGATAGCTGACCTTTTAGCAAGTAAAGTTTTAGGACTAAATACTTCAGCTAATCAAAAACTAAATTACACGTATACATTAACTCAGCCCACATCTTTAAAATAAAGCTGTATTCTGGCCAGGGCGAACGGCACCACATTCAGCCAGGACTAAAACAAGAGAACATGGCTTTTTTAATATCTCTGCAGAGAAAGAGAGGACAAGGCAGTATTCATGATGAGCACTGCGCCTCATCATGACAGTAACGGAAGAAAAAGTCACTGGAAGAGAAGGTTGTCATGGGAAACATTTCTCCCACTTTTATCGCTGGCAGGGTTTGTCCTTTAAACGCTCACCCCTGCAGAGGCCTGGCAGGTGACATCCCGGCAGGTGACGTGCGCTCGGCACAGCCAGCCCTGCCAAGGGCGAGGGACGCTCCCCTGGGGCACAGCCGAGCCCCGGGTGTCCGAGCCCGCCGGGACTGCCCGTAATGTCACCTCACGATACTCTGAAGGGCGAAGGGTCTCGGCAGCGCAGACCCGGGGCTGCACATCCTGCCAGAGGATGCGGCGCGGTGCGAGGATGCTCCCAGCCCGCGCTGGAAGGGTCCCGCACAGCTCTCCCCGGGGACAGCAGCAGCTCTGGAGGCGGAATGTACCGCGGCATCCCCGTGAGCCCCGCGGCCGCAGGGACCAGCACAGACCGCGGCGGACCGGAGGGACACGGTGCCGGGGCAGCGGGACCGGCCCCACCCGCGGGGAAGCCGCCGGAGCAGAGCCGTGCCCGCCGCAGGGAGCGGAGGGGAGGGAAAGGGAAGGGCTGCGGGGGCTCCCTGGGGTGCCCGCCCGCGCTCACCGTCGATGTTCTCCCGGTCGCTGATGTGCTGCAGGTTGCAGCCCGTGTCCTCCCGGCTCAGCTCGGCCTCGGGGCGGTAGGACTCCAGCCGAGAGTGGGCATTCCGGCGCAGCTTGGGGCTGGAGGAGACGCAGCAGGACGTGGTGTTCCCCATCTTCTCTGCCCGGCCCCGGCCCGGCCCGGCTCGGGAGGAGGCGAGGGGCGGCCGGTCAGCGGGGGTGGCGGGAAGCCATGGGCGGCAGCGGCGACAAGAGGGAGCGGCGGCGGGGGAGGAGGCGGCGGCTGCGGCGCCCTGCGGCTGCACTCGCCGGCGGTTCCCCCCGGCGGCTCATCCGCGGAGGCGGCCCCGCAGCGCGGCCCGCCGGCGTGGGCTGCGGCAGCTAAGCCGCCCTCCTCCGCGGGCGGGCAGCGCGGGGCCCGCCGGGGCACAGCCCCATCCTCCCCCGCCCCCGCGCAGCCGCCGGGCCCGCTCCGCGCACGCACCCACGCGGCAGCGTCGCAGCCTCCGCGGCAGCGACACCGCAGCAGCAGCGGCGGCGGCAGCAGCAGCCGCCCCGGGCGGCCCCCGCGAACCGGTTCCGGTTCAAGCGGGCGGTGACACCTCCCGCCGGGCGGGCTGCGGGAGCGGCGGCGGAGCCCGGCTCGGCCGAGGGGCCGCCCCGGCTGCCTCACGACGGAGCCCCCCTGAGCCGCGGCCGCGCAGCTCCCGGCGCGCCGGCCCCTGGCTCCCCGGCCCTCCTCACTCGAGCGTCCCGCACACGGGCACGGACGCTCTCCCACAGCCGGGAGCTCAGCACGCTGGTGCCGGAGGAGCGGGCCCGGCAGGCCCGGGGGCTCCTCGGGACCCCCCGTGCTCCTGCCCGCGGCGGGGATCCCGCGGGCCGCCCGGATCTAGGCCGGAGCCCGAGCCTGGCTGGCCCCGCGCCTGCCCCCGCCGTGGGGACCCGCATCCAGACGGAGAGAGTCACCGGTGTCCCAGGGATTTGTGGGGACTGCAAGAAGTCTTTGAGTACTTGTTAAACTCTCCTGTGGACTGACCGTTCCAAAGATAACAGGCCACAGAGCAATGAGAGGGTGTTGAGTGCCCCCTTGTACCACCTTCCCTGTGCTTAGGGCTTTCCCAAGTCAAAATCCCCTTTTGCCCTATTCAAAGTAATGTTAAAGATGGGGATGGTGCATGGCTTCATTAGTCATTGTTGTTGGTGGGTTGTTTTGGTTTTTTTTTTAATCTTTGTAATCTAAGCAAATCTCTTGACTGCTGGAGGTCTGAGTCATGGTAGTTGAATGGCTACACTGATAATTTGACAACAGAAAAGCACTTTTCTGTGTTTATAAAAGATGCTTTGACTTACAGCCCTGTGTCCAGGGAGCCATTACTTAATCTATCAGACATCTCATGATATCTGATGTTTTCACAAGATCTGCTCAAGTCAGATGATTACATGAAAGACTTAAGTTTTTATCCTACCTTTTTTTCAGATCACACATTGCAAAGAAAATCAAATTTTTAATTTTCAACTGCCTTTTGAATGTTTATTGATGCAAATGTACTCTAGTGGGATACAAAGAATCAAGGAGAAGGAAAGAGAATGTGAGGTTTTTTTCAAAATCACACTGTTTTGGGAATGTCTTCTGTAACTAGTTTTGGGACACTCCCCTCCCCAAACATGGATGGGCAGTAGATTTGGAGTTATATCAGTAGATTTGGAGTTAACATCATCCCTATGTGTTTGAGTAACTCAAGATAAATTAAGGATAGGTTTAGCATCTTTTTTGTGTTAGTGTATTCAGTAGTTTACATCCAGACAAAAGGAAAGTCTTTGCTGAGCTCTGGTTTAGAAATGTTCTCTAGGAGGATGTCATGCTACCTAGTGCCTTCCACCACCATGCCATCGCTTGCCCTCCACTGGAGCTCACCTGCTCTCCAGCTGAGCCTGAGCCTGCTTAGACCAGGCCTGACCTTAACCTGGCAGCAAGGTAGGTTAAATCTGAAACTGGCACAAGCAACACTCAGAAAATCTCAACACAATTTTTAAAGAATAAAGTAATCTCAGTATATATAGAACAGAACAGTACTGTTACTGAAACACCTGTCTTACCACATCTTACAAGAGGACCTGAAGCCAGTGAGATCTCCGTGGAAGACTGGTCTGACCTGCCCTGTTAAATTCCACCTTCCTGTAAGAATCAGGGACATGTGCTCATTTCAACCTGTGTCACGACTCCTAGGGCACCAGTGCCATTGTCTTTTAGGTACTTTTTGGGTAATGCTAACTGGGCAACTGTTGTCTTGCAGTATCAAGCCCACTACATTTTTATTATTTAGAAATGTTATTATTTTATTATTTAGAAACTTGTAACAATTGTAAATGCAGTAAATTGTAAATACAATTTATACTTATTCTGCACTTTTCACAAGCTTTGAAACAAAACAGGCCATATAATGATGGAGATGGGTTAATTACGAAGCTTGATTCTCTTAATGTGTAAGTAGAGCTTAAAAAGACGTTTTCTTTATTGGAAAGGATTGATTTAAACTTTGTGTTTTATTTAGAGCTAATATTATAAAACTAAACATTGTAATTGCTTTAATGTATTTAAAATTTGTGATTATTGGCTGTGACTATGTAATCCCTAGATTTAATCACTAGATGTGACTATGTGATCACTAGATGGATGCTCTTTAAGGTCTCTTCCAACCCAAACCATTCTGTATTCTATCCATAATTCTATTATTCTGTATGGCTACCTTTTTTCTTACTCGCAGTCTTTCATTCTAAATTTTTACCTTTATTCCTCCTCTTTTCACTCGAGGAGCTTGCTGAAGTACATTATAATGACAAAGGTGCTACAATACATATTTCAAATCAAAGAAGAGGGATGCTGCTCTAGGGTAATGGTCTCCTACTGGTATGTAAGAGCTGAGAAGAGGTGAAATATATACCATGAAAACATATTTGGGATTTGATTATGATTATTTCATTTCAGCTATCTGAAGTGCATGATGCAAATGTAACTGCATTATTTGATAAATATTCATACAGTAAAGCAGGAACAGCTCACGGTAACTTACTGACATGCTTAGAAATCAATACATGTCCTTCTCTGATTAGAGATTAGTCTGTTCCTGAGATTTACAATTTATGTATTTTAATGAGTTTGTCCTCTGGAGCAACTGCATCAGCTGAGGAACACCACAAAGCTCCCTAAACTAAGGCCAAGGCTTTCATGATTGGTCAGTGCTGGCATATCTTTGTTTAAAAAGTGCCTATTCCTGCACAACAATATTTTAAATCTGTAGCATCTCCACTGCACAGAAGACACTCCACTATAGAAAAGACAATGGATTTTAATAGGCTAAAATTAATTATGTGACCCATTAAATTTTGTGCTTGAAAACTTCGTGGAACATTGTCAAAAAATGTGTTTCAAACCAGCAGATATAGGTCAGTGTTTTGCTTATATAAGCTTTCTATCTATTTTGAGCAGATAAAAATTTAAAGTATTATTTAATCAAAAAGTATTTCCTGCTCACAAACCAAATTATTTGTGAAGCACAGTTAAAAAAAATTAAAAAAAAAACAAACCCAAAACCTTAACATAGATGAGTGGTGATAACCAGATCTTTTTGTTCTGCTCATCTTTCAAATACAGCCTGAGAAATTCGTGTCACACAATGCCTTCCCCACACCGCCATCTGATGTTTAGTTGGAGTTGTACTCGCAGTTTGGGTGTACAGCCACTCTAAAATGCCATTGTGTCAGTTTTCTCACAGAGCTAGTCATTGTCTGGAGTTTAAGCAAAAGCTTAAAATTAACATTCCCATGTACAAAGTGTTCAGCCTGGTCAACTGAATCATACCCTAGACTTTGTTGATTGTAATAGCTAAATTTTTTTGATGATAGTAGTAAATTCCAAATCAGTTAAAACCAGTCATGAACACACCTGAGGAATGTTATTATCACTCTGACAATTCTTATTGTTAATATTTGCATTTATTGTTACAAGCGTGAATTCAGTAGTATGAGCAGACTTCCTTCCTGAAGGCAAGTTCAGAATGCATGACACTTGATTCTGACCCAGGCTGTCTGGCAAAGCTTTTACTGTGCTGCTGCTCAAGGGAAGGCATTCATGGATTACGTCTTAGATTCCCTCCCACAAGTATTTGCATAAACTACTCCTATGGCAGATTTCCCCTTTGCTGAAGATGTTGATTCTTCCAGGACTAAGACAGTATCTCTTTCTTTGAGGCAGAAATCCAGTGCCTGCCAGAAGACATCCTTTCAGCCCTGACACAAGTTACCTGCCAGCCCCAACCCTGAGCCATCACCAGAGAGAGGTGGAAGGTTCTGTACATGGCAGATAGCTGCAGCTACTGTTCACAGGAAAGACACCCAGACCTAACAAGGAGTATGTAAGAGATGGGACCTGGTTTAAAAACACACAAATGGTGTCAGTGGAGTTATTCCCCTGGTGAATGGCACACTTATTTCTCAGGAATCAAGTGCCTTACTGGAACCAGTGAGAAATGGGGAAAGAGTAAATAAAGATTTCTTTTGAAGATCGAGGCAGAAAATGGGGCTATTTGATTAATGTATTCAACTTTAGTGCATAAATTGGGAAATTAGTCTCATGCTAGCCCATGAAGGGATACTGTTCTAGGCAAGAATGCAAAGCCCTAAGTCACACTCCTACTCTGAAGTGTGTGGCAACCAGAGGACTCTGCCTATTGCCACTTACTATACAGGAGGAAACAACTGCTTCAAGAAGGAAGAGGATACACCAGAGAGCAAGTGTTGGAGTATTGCCCAAAACATAAAAGCCCAAATAAGTGCATATAATCTTATATTACAATCTTTTTTATTAGTGCCATGTTTCTCACCAGCTTGAAATCACTGCAGAAAGAGGCAGTTTCCCCACAAGTAGAAGATTGTTCATGGTTTTAGGGGAAACACTTGAAGAACAACTGTGCTAGAATATTTTAGATATACACACACACACACATACACATATATATATGTGTAACTGTTCTTTTTTTATTGTTTCTCCAGGGATTGAACAAGATAAGATCTGCACTCAGAAGCAGCCAGAGACCCACGCATTACGCTTATGGGGGAAGATCACCCACACTGCACAGACGTGCAGCGAGCTTTGGGAGGGAGGAGGCAGTTCAGCAGAGTGTACCATGGATGCCCTTGCATTGTGGAGGAAGGCACAGGCAATTGGATTTAACCAGCTGGGTGGAATTTGATTTGATTAGCTTTGGCACAGTTTCACATACTCTCAATTCATCAGTGAATGGAGTAACTATATTGGAAAGCTGCTGGGGAAAAACATTGCCCCTGATGCTACTGTCACAGGCAGATAGAGCACAATCCCATACAGGCTCACTCTGTGTTTTCCTCTCTTCATTGTCTCCCTAGTTCGTTTTTTTGTGCCAGTGTGTGTCTTCCTGTATCAGGATTGGCTGCCTTTTCTTGGTCTGAGATCTTGGCATGTAAAGAGCAGTAATTACTCCATGACTTGACTATGAGCAAGGGTGGGAGTG